CGTCACTCGATCCAAGATGATCACCTGGATCCGCCGCTACTTTGACGAGCGTGACTTTGTCGAGGTTGAGACTCCCATGATGAACCAGATTGCTGGCGGTGCCACTGCTAAGCCCTTTACCACTCACCACAACGAGTACGACATGCAGATGTATATGCGTGTCGCCCCTGAGCTGTACCTCAAGATGCTTGTTGTCGGTGGCCTGAACCGAGTGTACGAGATTGGACGTCAGTTCCGCAATGAGGGTGCTGACCTCACCCACAACCCCGAATTCACCACCATTGAGTTCTATCAGGCCTACGCCGATGTCAACGACCTGATGGACATTACCGAGGACATGGTCTCTGGTCTGGTCAAGTACCTGACTGGTGGCTACGTTACCACCTTCCACACCCAGTCTGGCGAGAAGTACGAGGTCAACTGGGAGAAGCCCTGGCCCCGTTATGAGATGATCCCCGAGCTTGAGAAGGCGACTGGCGAGAAGTTCCCTCCCGGTGACCAACTCCACACTCAGGAGACCAACGACTTCCTCAGGGGCATCCTCAAGAAGATGAAGCTCGACTGCACACCTCCTCTGACCAACGCCCGCATGATCGACAAGCTGGTCGGCGAGTACATTGAGGAGAAGTGCGTCAACCCATCTTTCATCACTGGCCACCCTCAGGTCATGAGCCCTCTGGCCAAGTACCACCGCGAGATCCCCGGTCTTTGCGAGCGATTTGAGGCCTTTGTGTGCAAGAAGGAGATTGCCAACGCCTACACCGAGTTGAACGACCCCTTCGACCAGCGCCTGCGCTTCGAGGAGCAGGCTCGCCAGAAGGACCAGGGTGATGACGAGGCCCAGCTCATCGACGAGAACTTCTGTACCTCGCTCGAGTACGGTCTGCCTCCTACCGGTGGTTGGGGCATGGGTATCGACCGAATGGTCATGTTCCTGACTGACAACTACACCATCCGTGAGGTCCTTGCGTTCCCCTTCATGAAGGACGACAAGGCGGATGCGAAGAAGCTGGCTGCTGAGGTGGTCGGCATTGAGCCTATCCCCGAGGAGGGCATTGGTAAGATATGACCCCGGTCTAGTTTCAAGCGCAGTCGTTAACATGTCATGGGTAGCTCACAAGTAAAATGGAAATCGAAGCGAGGCATCATGTCATGAGAGAATATGTCATGAGCACGGAAGTTATGTTACACTAGGACTCCAAATCAGATCTGGACGGTAGATGCAGTCTCATATGAGATAGAAATAAAAAAAAAGAGAAATGTCCCGCCTTAGAGGGCTTAACATGTTAACAAGATGCTTCCTAGAGTCGAGTTTTTCTACAATGCTTCTAATGATCCAAGTCGGCTGATCAACTCAGACCACAGTCATCTATACACCCCTACATTCCTATCCCGTTCCATTTGTACTGTTGGTTGGTTCCATAATAATATACATTCGATTTCTGATTCTACAGGTGGAAGCACGTCCTCTGGTGCAATCACACCACCATCATGCCATCTCGTTTACTTTCGCAGCTGCATCTGCTTCAACCGCTGCTCGAGCAGACGAAGGGTGGGCTTAGGGACGTGCAGCCTGTATGCCAACATGAGGGCAACGGTCAGGACACCCAAGCTGCCGGCTTGGTGAGCGGCGGCCAGGGAGATGGGAACCATGTAGATGAGTGTGCTGATGCCGAGAGCGACCTGGAACGAGACGATGTGGAGCAGGCCAGTGGAACCACGCACGCAGTTCCGCGGAAGTATGGGTTTTATGCGCCTCGTGCGCGCAAAGATGAACAGGCTAACGATGGAGCAAAAGGTAGACACGGCGAGGATGCGGTGGTTCATCTGGACGGTGCTGGGGTTCTCGAGCATGTTGCGCCACCAGAGGTCAGAGTGGTCCTCCTTGCGCGAGTAGAACTTGTCCCAGAGCTCCTTCTTGGGAGGGAACAGGCCCAGACCCATCTTGGGGAACTCGTTGTAGATGAGACCGGCGTCGAGACCGGCGACAAGGCCACCGGACATGGCGGTGACGAAAGTCAGAGCGGCGACAGCGAAGACGGCACGGCGGAAGTTGCGGAGGCCAGGGTTGGAAATGGCCTTGATAGCCTTCATACCGATCTCGGGGTTGGCCATCCAGACATTGTTGCGCAGGACAAGGAGACCAGAGACGAGCATCCAAGAGTAGCAGATAAAAGCGGTCGCAAGGTGGGTGGTCAGGCGGTACTGAGATACACGGGGGTGAGATCCGGGAGCAAACAGGTCATCCTTGAGGCCAGACTTGACCATCCACCAGCCGATAATGCCTTGGAAGCCGATGAGAGCAGAGATTCCAGCGAGGTTGAAGGCCATCCTGGGGGTGACCTTGCGGCGAGCGATGAAGTAGACGGTGGGCAGAACGAACGACATGCCGATGAAGCGGCCCCAGACACGATGGAACCACTCCATAAAGTAGATCTTTTTAAATTCTTCGAGGTCCATGTGAGGGTTGAGGAGCTTGAACTCGGGCGAGGCGCGGTACTTTTCGAACTCGGACTCCCAGTCGGCTTGGGACATGGGGGGGAGCGAACCGGTGACGGGTTTCCATTCAGTGATGCTCAGGCTGGATAGGTCAGATACAGCATATAAGGTGTTTAGGAGTGCAATTCATACCCAGACTCGGTCAATCTTGTCAGGCCACCAAAGACGACGATACCAAAGACACTAACAGCGCTACCAATGAGCCAGTAACCAACGCCCTTGTGTGTAGTCTCAGGCCATGCCTTCTTGGCAGCTTGAGAGACGGAGGGGGCGGGGCGCGCAGAGACCTGCTCGGCGACAGTACCCAGAGGCTTGCGGAGGGCAGCATCGGCGTAGGAGCGAGACGGGACGAGGTTGAGGATGCGCGAGGGCATGGTCCGCGGGGCAGCTCCCCGGAGGCACTGGTTGCAGACGAAGAACTTGGAGGGCGCCGAGGCCGAGGCCTGGAGGAATAACCTCCGGAACCCGGGGGCGAAGGACGCCATGATTGCGAGCAAAACAGGGCAATTGAGGATGTCAGAGGGAAAGAGGGAATTGGAGGGGAGAGGTGGAAGATAAGGCGGTGGCCCAATTGCCTGTGCTGTCAAGCTGTCAGTCAGTCAATCGGTCATACGAGGACCACGAACCACGAACCAAATATTAAATTCGACCATGCGATGGTGCTTTTCGGGGTTCGGCGCCGGTCCAGGTCCGCGTGGGGTGGGTCACCCTGGACAGGACGGAAGGAGCTAGGGAATAAGGCGTCAGTGATAGGCCGCATCTCCGTAAGTGCCCCCACCGGCCAAGGTCGGCCCCGCCAAGCCAAGGGTCGCTTCACCGCCCAAACTTTTTGGAGCGGCAGAAAATATTGGCGAAAAAGTGTTTGAGGATCGCAGCAAAGACGGGCACATTTACGAGCCGCCAACTTTAAAACAACAGCAAAAATGGGTGGACGTCAGGCTCACGGCCGATCACTCCTGGCCAATCCCAAGGCCAAAAATACCGGAAACAACAAAAAGTCCAAGGCGCGCTCGCAAAAGAACGCCCTCAACGCCTTTGGCATCGCCCAGGAAAACTTTGCGCCCCGGCAGAAGTTGACCCCCCGCGTGAGGCAGCTCGACGCCGACATCGAGAGCGAGAGGAAGCACGGCCGAGACGAAGACGACGACGAGGACGAAGAAGAGGAGGAGGATGAGCCCCAGAGGAAAAAGGTCAAGAGGCCTAGCCGACCCGCCGACGGAGGCGCCGAGGATGGAAGTGACAGCGAGGGCAATGAGTGGCGGCTGGGCGGTCTGAGAGAAGACGATGAGGACTCTGAGATTGAGAGTGACGAGGCGTTTGGTGATAGCGACGAGGAAAAGTTTGAGGGATACACATTCCGCGGGAGCAAGTCGACACATCAAGAGGTAGCTTCCCTCATGAGCTAAACAGCATGAGCCTAAACTGACATTGAAAAGGATGACGACTCGGTGGATGATTCTCAGGACGACGAGGGCCAGACACTTGGCGAAGACGCCATTGACCTAGCAACAGCGCTCGACCAGTTTGAAGAGGATTCGGACGAAGAGCCTGAGGGCAGGGACCAGTCTGGTTCTTCAGAATCCGATGACGATGCTTCAGACGAGGAGGAGGACGATGATGATGACGAGGACGACAGCGATGATGACGATCAAGAAGCCAACCCAGAGAAGCTGGAAGCTCTCCAGGGGTTGATCAAGGGTTACGGTGGTCAGAAGGACGACGATGAGGACAAGCCCAAATCAAAAACCAAGATCAGCCTGAGTGACCTGGGACTCTCAGGCATCAGCGACGCCAACGTCAAGAAGTCGATGAAGCTCATGAACAAGGAAGAAAAGGAGAAGCGTCCCGGTGCTACCAAGAAGCTAGTTGTTCCCCTGGCAAAGCGACAACAGGACCGCCTGGACCGGAGTGCCGCCTACGAAAAGACAAACGAGACGCTGGACCGATGGAACGACACAGTCAAGCAGAATCGAAGAGCAGAGCACTTGGTGTTCCCTCTACCACAAAACTCGGCCACTGCTGGTCTGGATACAACTGAAATCCGACCCCTGACTACTTCGAACCCCAGCAACGAGCTCGAATCCGCCATCATGTCCATCATGGAGCAGAGCGGTCTGACCATGGACAAGCCCCAGAAGCCAAAGGAGAAGGAGTACGACGAGGAGGGTAACGAGCTCACACGGAAGGAAGCGCTGGCCCGGAAGCGCATGGAGCGTGAGCTCAACTCGCGTGAGGCCAAGAGAGCCAAGCGCATCAAGAAGATCAAGAGCAAGGCCTACCACCGCGTACACAGGAAGCAGCGCGAGCGTGACGAGATGGCTACCAAGGAGGCCATGGAGGAGGCCGGCGAGATTGACTCTGACGAAGAGCGCCTGGCTCAGGATCGCCGACGTGCGCTTGAACGTGTCGGACAGAGGCACAAGGAGAGCAAGTGGGCCAAGATCGGCTCCAAGACGAAGCGAGCCGTGTGGGATGACGACTTCCGGGCTGGTCTGACAGAGATGGCCCGCAAGGATGAGGAGCTCCGACGGAGGAAAGAGGGCCGCGCCGGTGGCTCTGATGAGTCTTCAGAATCTGATAGCGACTCTGATAACGGCGATGCTTCGCTGCGGCGACAGCTGGCGGCGCTTGAGGAGGAGGAAGATGTGCCGCAGAAGGGTCTCATGAGCATGAAGTTTATGCAAAAAGCCGAGGCTGCCAAGAAGGAGGCCAACGATGCTCTCATCCGCCAGATCCAACGAGAGCTCGACGGTGAGGAGTTTGATGGTGACGGCGATGAGGAGATGGAAGAGGTTGGCCGTCGGCAGTACGGCGCCGCTGAAGGTCAGGCATTCAAGCCAGCTTTCGAGAAGCCAACTCGGACGGCCAAGAAGCAAAAGCCAACAGAAGATTCCGACGACGACGACGATGTGGTGATAACTACAAACGGAGCTGGCTACAACCCTGCCATCCCCAACATCACATCCCTCGACTCCTCACGAACCGTCTCATCAACCGCAGGCGCCTGGTCTCGCGGTGAAACCCGCCGCAAGAAGAAGGGCCAGTCAGCAGCCAACGTCGGCGACCTCGACCTCTCATCCAACGTCATCGTCGCCTCTCACAAGTCAAAGAACAAGTCCAAACCCGACGAGGAAGCTTCAGATGCCGAATCAGACACTGACCAGCATCTCCCCCTCGCGATCCGCGACCAGGAAATGGTGGCGCGTGCCTTTGCGGGCGAGGACGTTGTCGGAGAGTTTGACCGTGAAAAGGCAGACGTTGCTGAAGAGGACGATGACAAGGTCGTTGATAATACTCTTCCTGGTTGGGGATCATGGGTCGGTGATGGTGTGAGCGAAAAGGAGAAGAAGCGTCATCAAGGCCGGTTCCTAACAAAGGTTGAGGGTATCAAGAAGAAGGATCGCAAGGATGCCAAGCTGGACAAGGTGATGATCAACGAGAAGCGGATCAAAAAGGTAAAACACCACACACTCCTTTGTTCTTCAAGAATCAACACTAACAAGCAAACTCAGAACGACCGCTACCTCGCCTCACAACTCCCTCACCCCTTCGAGTCCCGTCAACAGTACGAGCGCTCCCTGCGTCTGCCCGTCGGACCCGAATGGCAGACAAAGGAGACGTTCCAGGACAGCACCAAGCCTCGCGTGCTCATGAAGCAGGGCATCATTGCGCCCATGTCCAAGCCTACCATCTGAAAATAGAGAGATACCTGCATTGCCTATTTTGGAATAGAAACAAAGACGAGAGCATATATCCTCGACGCCAGTTGCATTAAAGTGTACATCCACCTCAACGCCATGCAGACCCAGTGATCAAGGCCTTCAGATAGCGTTTCCTTTATTTAGTCGGGTGAATGAATGAATGAAAAACACCACCATTCGATAGGCCTATGCTTGGTTCCGCATCTACACAGGCCCTCGTTCGATCCAGTGTAAGCGACTCGATGACTATGTCTGCATGTAGGTTCATCCATGCGTAGGTTCTCAAACTCGCTCTACCGTCAGACTTGTTGCGGCTCACTACCCAATCAACACGAGGTTCTATCTCTATACAAAGAAATATAACTGAAAGCGTATTGGTTCCAATGATGCCGACCTATCTACGGATAGGATATCTCGGAACACCCCTCAAACCACTCGTTACCTGAGCTAGACAAACAACATAACCAAGAACAACAGCGACTACGATTGACATCTTTTTAATGCTTTTAATTCCTATTTGAGCTGTCCTTCGCACTCGTCGCCTCTTAGCGACCTTGCAGTCCAATGATATAAACATGAAGGAAAAGCGGTTGCAAAGCATGCGGACTACGACTAAACAGTTAGTATCATAAACCCTCTCCCTCTTTTGACATAACGAAAATGCGCGACGGCGATAATAATCCCTCTTCTTCTTCTTCTTCCCTTCCACATCCCTTCCCCTCCCCTGTTTGAATCTGTTTGTTTTCAGTTTCTCAGTCCTATCCAGAGGACTGTCTGATCCTAGTAATACAAATATGAAAAATTCGGCTCGAATTATGGTGGGCAAACTTGTGGCTAGCGCTCTCATATTTCTGAGAGCCATCTTTGCTGCCCAGTTTAGACCCAGTTTCGCGAATAGCTGCGGAGCATCCAACGTCGCCCGGTATCCAGAGACACATGGTTGAAGTGTGGTAATATCGGTTATGGGAAAAGGTCGAGTGGGTGATATAATCTAGACGCCAATCTTGCCGTCGATGATGCCACTTGGGGTGACGAGGAAGGCCAAGGCGATAATGGCGTAGAGACCGAGAAGCATAGCGCCTTCGAGATAGTTGGACTTGCCGTCCTGGACGGTGTAGGTGACGACAAGAACGGACACGGCAAAGGCAACGGTTTGGACTAGAGCATGTTAGAATCCAACATTTCGTACAACTGCGGGCTGTCCAAAACTTACAGGTCTCAAAGTGAAGGCTCATATCGGAGCCAATGATCCAGCCAACAATGACAAGGAAAGGGGTGACGAGAAGAGCGATCTGGATGCTGGAGCCAATGGCAACACCCATAGCCAGGTCCATCTTGTCCCGAACAGCAACAACAACAGCGGTAACGTGTTCGGCGGCGTTTCCAACGATAGGGATCAAAATCAAACCGATAAAGGCCCTGCTGATGCCCGATGTCTCGACAAGGTCATCAATGCTTCCAACGAGGTAGTCGGCGCAGATGGCTACCAGGATGGTGGTGACAACAAGGACGGCGACAGCGCTGACAGTGCCAAGGGTAGGCTCCTCAGGCTCCTCGCCCTCGCCACCAGCGTTCTGGTTCTCGGCATCGAAAAGGTTGCTGTGGGTGCGAAGCTGGAAGACGAGGTAAAGGACGTAGAGGAGAAGAAGAATGATGGCGGTTCCGCGCGAAAGTGTGAGGATGCTCTGATCTTTGTCCCTGGAGCCGCCCTGGTCAAGAACAGCGTACAACTATACCAAATATTAGTCGGTTGATTTCCAGCGTTTGAAATTGGTAACATACGGCGGCGGGAATGACAAGCGAGGCAGACGAGAGTGTCATGAGCGAACAGGTAGTCTGAGCAGTAGCCGAAGAGAAGACCTGTTCTGTACCACTGCCAGTTTGACCACGATGAATTAGACCGCCAAACAGGAAGCACATGCCCATCACCAGCAAAAGGTTGGAGAGAATCGAGCCGAGCATCGAGGCCTGGACAATGTCGATTTGCTTTTCCTTGAGCGCAACAATACTGACCTACGCATATAGTTAGCATCTTGAATAGAGCCCAATTTTCTCGTGGGGAGTCGCACAATCAGTTCGACGGCGTTTCCAAAAGTAGCATTCAACAGACCACCCATTGTTTCACCCAGCTTCAGAGAAATCTCTTCGGTCGCGAACGAAAGGACGGCGGCGAGGGGGATAATGGCGAAGAAATTGATAGTGAAGACGGCGGTGGAATTCCAGCCCAGCTTGCCGGCGACAATGCCAATGGGAACCATAATCAGAAGGAAATTGACATAGCCTATAATAAGAGTCAGTCGCATGCGACCAAGTGTGTTTTCAGGTCGGGCGCAAACATACTGCTAAGAAGTGTCACCTTGGTGACATGCCACGAGTAGGCGAGATGCCTCAGGGCAAAGTTATGGTTATCGAGACCCGGTGTATGCTTCGAGTCGAAGAGAAAAGTCATGGTGCTTGAGCCTCGGCTGAGGCTGATGTGACCGTTGCCATTGCCATTGCCATGGACATGGCCGAGGGTATCTTGGAGGGCCGACGAGGCACCGCCATTGGCGATGAGCGGCGAGTTCTCGTCGGCCGCGTGGGAAGACCTGCTAGACATTTGACGTCTGATGTAATGGTTGAAGGATGGAAGAGCTGTTGATGGCGAATCAAGACACCGGCATAGTCAGTAAATGAAATCGTTTCTATGCGATTGGGAACAAGCCAAGAGGAAACAACAAGCAATTAAGCAGGACAAGATGCTGGGACCAACAACAGAGAGTAGATGAGCAGCACAGAGACTCTTGTCTCAAACAGGAAAGCAGAAACCGAACAAACAAGGCTGGCTGCTGGGCTGACCAGGCCCCGGTCTAGGCCGCAAGGGACTTCTTGGCTGCGTTTGTGAAAGAGGGACCTGCTGCGCCTCGTGTGATCTGCGGAATTGAAGCTTGTAACAAGATGGCCCGAAGGGGCTGGCGCTTGCAAAGGGATGGAGAGAGGGCGAAAGTAGGGCTGGGGATGAATGACAAGACGAGGGAGAAGCGCCTCAGTAACGATGAAAGAGAGCGAGTTGCCCAAAGCTGAAAGAACTCAAAGGCAAGGCTCAAGCAAGGGAATGGACACTGTTCGCCAGTGGTCCTACTCACTCAATTCGACGATTCGATCCGCTCAGATCGCTTCACTTCTGCAGGGTCGGGGGTATCGTTTGATGCGGTTGCCTTGCCCGTTCCCGTGTCCGTAGGATAGGATTAGGATTGGGGAGTGAGGGAAAGAGAAGGGTTTGAAGGGTCGGCCAAGATTTGGCTCAAACGAATATGGGCTCTCTCTCGCTTGTGCCCGTGAGTGGCGCCCAACCCGTGGAGAGACGAAGCTAGCTAGCAACTTTGGGACTCACACTTGGGAGGGGTCGGGTGTTTTTTCTGGGGGGTGTGGTACTGTAGTGTCGGGATGGGAAGAAGGGGGAACGATGGGATGGATAAAGAGGATGGAAGATGTGACATTTACAAGTTGCCGATCTCTTCCATGGACCTGGGTACAACTTGGGGGGACACGTTCTAGACGGCTCTATGTCGTGACCTTGGAAACGGGTCGAGATGGATGCAGGCGAAAAGGTTATAAAGTCGTAGGTTACTCACAAACCATGGCTCCCGCGTCTGCTGAAGCTTCTCGTGATTCAAATTGATAGATAACCCGCGATGTGACACGAGGGCCGAAAGGAGTGGACGAAGAGAAGACGAAACGGACGACCCGGGTAGAGAGAGAGAGAGCGCGCGCGTAGCGAAGCCAAGAACCTTTGCTTCAAAGAAGGCAGTGTCAATCAACCCCGCTCAGCGAGGTAGCTATCTGCTCTGTCGGTGTGAAAGCGCGTACGTATCAGCTGCGGTGAAGGAGCACAGCCTGAATTCGAGATGGTGTTTGGGGCGAATGTGCAAGAGAAAAAACGTGGTACGGAGCTTCGAGATTCCAGGAGGCCTCCTTTGCCCAGGTTTGAAGAAAGGGAAGTGGGTAGGAAGCTCGAACCCGCGTTGACGTAGGACATGGGTCGAGATCGGCGACCCACATTAAAGAAGGAGCTTGATGTAGGCGGGCCATGATTGGTCAAAAGAGGTCGAGTTGGCCGGCAACCAGCCCGCAACCCGCTGAGAGCTCCCTGAGGTCCCCACCACATCCACCGTCAGTGACATGTTTTACAGGGGTGAGCGTCTTTCTTTCAGCTAGGAAGCTCCAGTTTGGGGCCTGTTTCTGCCGCTTGTCACTGTTGCTCAGTCATTTGGCTTCTTGGCCCCAGTCTCGATCCAGGAAGCGCCGATTCCCAGCGAGGGAAAGGCGTGTTGGGCCGTCCAGTGGCTCAGCAGAAACCTTAATACTACCTGCGAACCGAGCCACGGACAAGACGTCAACCGCCAAGCCAATCTTGACCTCTTCTTTGAAGTCTGATGGTGGTCTCTGCGTGGTTGGCAAAAAAGCTTATTCGACTTAATCTCTTTTGCTTGGCGTCGCAGCCACCAGGACACGAGTCTAGAAATCGCTTCAAAACTTGGAATTCAACCCACAATACAATCACCATCGTCATCATTCCCAAAACCATGCAGAGTCCCCAAAGTACAAATGAGATCTTACCCTCATATGCATCAGCTTACCATGGAAACGTCCGCTTACCCACTCCCGCCCGCAGTCCCCCGTCTGTCGCACGCACATATTTCCTCGTCAGTCCGACATTGCCGGGATTATCGCTGCGGCTGCAACAGCTCACCAATTCCAATTGTGAAACGCATCACGGGGCCGTCGGTCCGGGAGTTATTGGGGTTCCATGGCAACCGTATCGATAGAGCTGCGTCAAACGTCAAGATAAAGCACCGCTCGGGGCGGGTTAAGAATGCAGTGAAAACGCCACTATTTCAACCACACACACCCCATCTCCCGGCCATCCCAGGGGGGGACAAGAAACACCGTATGGAATTGGCTGTGTTTTCACCTCTCTAACCCGTGAATTATGTCCATCCCCTCTCGCCATCTCATCAATGTCCACTGAAGCTTGATACGCCCTCAAGCGAAAATCAATTCCTAGATATCGTCACCACATCTTTCGTCAAATACCCCTTGCCGATCTCCACCAAACAGCCCCATCCAGGGCAGTGTTAAAACACCATGCCCATCATCTTGTCTTGGCACTCCAGAATCCATTCAAACTGCCGCCCCCATGTCGCAAATCTACAAGCTGCGCCTCGTTCCCCCCCAAGTCCCAACGAAGAACGAGGCCACAACTGTCACCCTCATCAAGTGGTTGGCTGTCCAACTCTATCGACCCCGGATGTCCGGGAATGCTTGTTTTTCATGAGGCGTCGTCGATCTCTCGGCCCCATCTTCCAAGGAAATCAAGTTTCGAGACAACCTGCGACATGCGTCACGTCTTATTGGGCCGAGGCCCTTGTCAAACTCCCAATCCTCTCAAGTCTGTCTCGGAACTGGGCTGTAATTGATGAATGTGAAGTGAATGTGAATAGTAGGTTTAAAAGAAAATGAAATTGTAAAACCTTGTCAAAGGTGCTGCATCTGCCTCCCGTCTTGGCGAGGTCAGGAATCCAACCATCCATCTTTCTTCCCCATCTCTAAACGCCAGTATAATACGAAAACCCACTCTGTCTCTTCTTGAATATACAAAGTAAATCTTTCTTCCCGTCGAGGTATCTTGTCTTTCCTTCTATGCCCATCTTTTTGTACACAGTTGCTCATCTAAGCACTGATGGCCAAACCCCTGAAAGGGCAGGCGCCGACGCCCTGATATCTGTCATGACGCGGCCTCTATTCGACTCCGCCTCAGTCTATCAAATGCCGGCGAGGGCTGTATCACAGTCGTTAGCCTTGTCTTTGCCACTGCTTCCATAGATTCAGACTCACCTGCAGCGTACGCCAAGAACCACGTCCTTGATGCACCGCCATCGATCCACTTCGCGTCAAACTTGGAGCTCGTAAAGAAGGTCCAAGCCGCCGAAGGGTTGATTGTCGCGTAGTTTCCATAGATGATGCCCTTCCATTCATTGTCGATCTTGTCAACACGGCCGCTGCTGAAGTAGGTATCCCACTCCTGCTGAACAAATGTCTTGGTTCGGGCCAGGTTTGAAGGGGGCAGAATGGGGATCATGTGAATGCCCTGAACGGCCTCAATGTTGGGGCTGAACCATGTGGTATGGTGAATCTTGTTCTCAAAGAGAATACCCGCCACCTTGTTGCCGATAAAGTTGCTGGGCTGAGCGACGTTGTCCGTGGTATAGTAGTAGTACTGCTGCATAGCTCGTGTCATGACGGCCAGTTGCAGATTGGCTCTGTTGTCCATGGTCAGCATCCGAATCCTTGCAAGAACAACATTCTCAACTCACCGTGCAACCAGGCTGGTGTCCTGGATCACTTGACCCCACATCTTGAGGGCATACACAGACATGATGTCCTCCGAGCTAGATTCCTGGTCCTACCATGACTGTCAGTGTCGTCTCAGCATCATGAGTACATGTTCCAGGCTCACCTTGCCATCCCACATAGCGGTCAGGCCATGGGCCCAACTGTGGCCGTGGTACCAGTCGAAGCTTCGCCACAGGGGGTAATACTTGTCCTGGCTGCTTGGGTTGGCAAAGTCACGAACAAGACTGTTGACATAGGCCTTGTTGGCAGCAAGCCACTTGCTATCCATAGAGCCGATGTAGGCAGCAGCCAGGATGTGATAACCGTAGTGGAAGTGGTGGTCGTTGTAGTAAGTGTTTCCAAAGTCAGAACCCGACTCTCCTGTGACATAGGATGCAGATGAGACGAGACCGCCCCAAGCGGCTAATTGATCGAGTCAGTTACTATTCCAATCTACCCGAGATCGTGTTACTTACTCTCGTAGACAAGAGGGTAGTTCTGCTTGTTTGTGCCGAATCTAGCAAAGGCTGTCTTGAGCTTAGCCAAGCCAGACTGGGCCAAAGCAGCATCGCCCAAGAGGTTGTTGATGACATAGATGATGGTACCAAACTTGGCCAGGGCCTGTGCGTGTTGGTTAGATCATGATCCTCTATCGTTAAAGCCGTCACTCACCTTTCCAGAAAAGTACATCGAGTCCAAGTTGGTCTGCGCAATCATGTCCTGAGAGACTTCCGACTGCGCGATGGGCTTGATGGTGGTCTTTGCCTTGGTGGAGAGTCCCTTGCTGCCCTTGGAAGGATCCCAAGGAGCAAAGCCCATGTTGACAGGCATCGAGGGCTCGACCATAGTCCACTTGGTTCCTCCGACAATCGTGGCAACGCCCTTGGTGGGAGTCTGCAGCTTGTAGTCCCGGATGCTGGCAGTGGTGGCGGCGTCGAAGGAGGTAAGATGGTGAGGAAGAGCGAACATCCAGAGGTTTCCAGAAGTGTGACCGGACTTGCTCCAGTTGAAGCTATAAGTACCCTTGGTACCGACAGCAGATCCGCTGATGGTCATGCCGGTCGCATAGATGCCACAACCATTGTCAAGAACTGCCTCGGACTTGCTCGACTTGGGGTCCTTGGCGATCTGAATCAAGCCATAGAAGGGCTTGCTGGACGAAGCGAGACCGTTGTTGGTGACCGTCAGGTTAAGAGGATCGCCCTTGGTCTTGTACGCATACAG